CCTCCCCCTCCGCTCCCCCCACCTCCGTTGCCTAATCCCTCACTCAGCGCAACAACTGCCCGTAGCTTTGACCTGCTCTGCCGGTTAATACATAATCTGCCATCTCCAAAACGAATATGCGCACGCCCGCCCCCCCTTCGTCACGCTACGGGAAATCACGGCTAGTGTGTCACGCAGAGCGGGACTGACCTGCGTTGGCATCGGACTGCCGAGCCTGACGGGAAGCGGCGCAGCTCTGCGGGGTGGAAGTAAAAGTAGTGGAAATCCTACTGTGGCAAATATGGCCATCATGCCCGTGTGGTGGTGGTGGTGGGGGGGAGCAACTGCGGGTTAGTCATACGGAGGCGGGGTCTTGCTCAAGGGCATGCAACACAGCATCAGATACCGGGACGGCTTATCAAAGTTATGCAGATTGTGATGCTGTGTTGTGTTTGGTAAAGAGGTTAGTCAGTACTCGTGGTGAAATTCCTTTTACACTCGGATGGCAATTAGGAATAAAAAAGTTTTGTTTTGTCTTACTAATAGCGTCTGTTTTATTTGTATGACTGGAGAGAAGCGTTAAAAGTTGACTTCAAATATTTCCAAGGCCTGCCCGAGTATTAGGAAAAAAAAATGGAGTGCCCCCTCCTAGACTGTTTCGTAGTTGCCTATATTAACAACAGAAAAATGCTCCCTAATGTCCAATAACAACCACCAAGCTAACGTTAACCTTAGAAATACAAAGCTTGTCTCTCCGCCAAGTTTTATCACTGCAACATATTTCCTTGACACTTTTCTATTGAGATAGGGCTTTTTGCACAGACAAAACAACAACAAAGAAAATTCAGCAAATAGCCGCGAGTGGGGGAAGGATGTGAATTTGTGAACAGGGATTGCCGGGATTACTGTATTTCTATTTACCGTATTTTCCGCACTATAAGGCACACCTAACAGCATTCAATTTTCTCAAAATCCGACAGTGCGCCTTATAATCCGATGCGCCTTACATATGCATCAATATTCTGATGTCTTGGTTGTGGAATTTTAAATATTCTGTAAAGCGCTTTGTTACAGCTGCAGCGGTTGTGAAAGCGTGAAATAAAGCTGTATTGTATTGTTCCCTTTAGCGCAGCTCCATCTAGTGGATGCATAATGTAACCACTATTGTAGCTTCGATTCTATGCGCCTTATAATGTGGTACGCCCTATATATGAAAACAGTTTTAAAATAGGCCATTTATCGAAGGTACACCTTATACTCCGAAGCGCCTTATAGTGCGGAAAATATAGTACTTGTACGGTTCTTCTGGGGGAAAAAAAATTCTTTGACCTTAGAGATTCCACTGTATGTGTAAAAATAAAAGACATGACAATAACATGACAAAACAATAGTTTCTCCTTGATAAACTCAGCAATCTTTCATTTGAAAAACACAATCACCAACTAAACAAGACTTTAACCAAATCCAAATATGCCCAAATCCAATTTTGCGAATGCCCACCAACGCACAAAATGACCACACAGCAACAAATGTCTTCCCCGCAGGCAAACAAGTGATTCTTTGCCGATTGCAATGTACGCATGTGACATTCCGTGCAAATGACACCAGCGTTTCATTGAAGGAGAGGCCCAAAGGGTCTCTTAATACTCTCTCTCTTTTACACTTCATAATCGCAAAGACAATAAGACGTGCTTCATTAAGAAATCTGTTGCAGTGCCTCACTGTCAAGCTCCTGGCTGTGTGCAGAACAGATTCTGACAGAAGAGGACAGACTGGCAGTATTTGTGGATTAGCGCAACAGTGGAAAACGCAGGATCTGAGAGGATTAAATCTGCGCTCTGTCTTGTCACTGTGGCGTGCGGAGCCAAAATGACAGCGTCACACGTCGGCCATCAGCGCTGTAACTTGATTTTATCGGCGCGGTGATGCTGCGAGACCAGGTCGTTAGTCGTGGCTAAAATATACCCTGATGTCGCCACCCAAATGAGCAAACGGGATATGAATAAGTCTGATCCACAAGCGCAAGAACGAGACAGCGCCGATTTCGCTCTGTGGGATGCATGTCAGTGTGCACCGAGATGGGCTACTGCAGGTAGATTGTTTAGCCTTAAAGCCTTTTCCGGGCTATTCTGCAGCACCCTCATTATCATAATGGAATAAGACATGCATGTTTACAAAAGCATGAGCTTGGGGGGGATGGAGAGACTTACTGCATTTAACAGTGATACTACATCTGCCATTGTGCAATGTCCTCATCGCCACAGCAGATTGTGGTTGTATAAAAGCAGTCTGTGCCGCCGTTTGGTTCAATGATTGACAATGTCGCACACTAATGAGAGTGAAATGAGAAATAAATCCTGGCGAGGAGACTGTGGCCAACGACTGCAGACCATAACAAATGCAAATTAAGAAAGCAATGCCTCAAAGTCCCAATGAATTAAAGATAGCGCCCAACATACTGGGCTGCAACTGCACACACGAACGGAGGTGGTCCTGCAAGGAAAATGAAAGTCTGACAAGCGCCTTTTGCCAAACTAGCCAGACATGTAGAAAAAATAGACTAGGGAATAGACTGACAGGATTTCTTCTAGGACGGGCACAAATCCAGTAAAACATTCTTGATGCAGCAAGATGAGGGTTGTCAAGTACACCGCAACGAACTCCGAGCAGGAACAAGACAAATAACAGTTGTTCAAGAGTAAATACACATTTACTTGTGTCGGGAGATGCCATAGTGGACACGATGACTGGTGGACCTGTGCGGCGACTTAGCTTCTGGTTAGCAACCATGGCGCCTTGTCCTTGAACGGAACCTCCCACAGGAACCAGGGCATTGTCTGCTGCTGGTCCTCCACCCTTCCGTATGAGCTGGGCATTCGGGTGAGGGCTGTGCATGGGTGACAACGGCAATAAGCTCCGGTCCCTCTTCATTAGCTCCATGGGCACCGTGTAATTGGTGGAATACGCTTTAGGTAACTGCTGTGGCGCTTGAGGTAAAGCTGGCATGGAGACGGGCATGTGCTGGGGCATTCCTGGCATGGGGTGGATGGAACCAGCGATAGCAGGCATTGATCCGGTCATCTGTTGCGACATGATCTGCATACCCTGCACGGGCAACCCTTGCATGTTCATCCCAGATGAATATGCAGACATGGGTCTTGACTGAACGGGCATCATGGCACCGACATATGGCCCCGGGGAACGAGGGGGTTGGCCTGGGTAACCTCCAGAGGCTTCCAGGAGCTGCTGAGAGGGTGCACTGCTGGGCCTTCTGCCTACTACCTCTCCAATCCTTGGCGAAATAGTCTGCATGGCCCCAGGTGTCGGCGGGGGGATCAGGTGAGGGTCGACATTCAAAGCCTGTGGAGGATGTAGAGGTTGGTGGTGGTGCTGCTGGCTGTAGACGTCCGAACGATGGCTAAAACTATTAGAACGCCCCCGCATGGGTGTCTGAGGCTGAGAGGGGGCCGGGGGGGCCTCAGTGGGTCGCTTGCAGTTGTGGACCACTCGAGAAAGTACCCGTGCCTGCCCGAGGTTGGGCGCTACAGTGCGTACGTCGTTATCCTCCATGACAGCCAGCATGCTCGTGGAGTCAAATCCCTGCTGAATGAGCGAAGAAATGGTGTTCTCAGAGATGCCCTCGTTTCGCAACAAAGCAAGAAATTCTGGATCGGCTGCCCTCTTGGGATCCACGGGTAAAGGTGTCTGAGGGGCCGTAGGTGGAGGGGCGGGAAGGGGAACGGGAGGTTGAGCAGTCGGAGGGGCCGAAGTCGGCGCTGCCTGTATCGGGGCGGGCGCAACTGGGACAACTGTGGCGGTCTGCAAGGGGGCGGGCGAAGCGGGAGGAAGTGCAGCCGCCACAGGGAGTTTAGGGTCTGGGATGGTTACGGTGTTGGGAGGCGGCAAAGACGGTTGCAGATGCTGTTGCAGCTGCTCCTGCTGAAGCTGCTGCTGCTGCTGAAACTGCTGTTGTTGTAATTGTTGCTGTTGGAGGTGCTGCTGTTGCAGTTGCTGCTGCTGGAGTTGCTGCTGCTGCAACTGCTGCTGTTGAAGATGTTGCTGCTGCAGTTGCTGCTGTTGCAGTTGCTGCTGCTGAATTTGCTGTTGCTGCTGGAGTGTATAGGGCGAGGCTGTCTCCTGCCTCATCATCATACCTTGACTGGAAGGATCCACCACTAGGCAAGTAGCAGCCTGCTGCTGCTGCGGATCCAACGGGCGACCATTAACATCGGTATAGACGGATTGACCGGCCAGAGGTGGTGGCTCACTTGCATACCGAGGAGATGCGTGTTCCATGCTGTAGTGAGCGGGAGATGTATCCCGAGAGGGTCTGCGCTGACTATCAGGCATCATCTTGGGAACACCGGGTTCCCTGTAAGCCCGATTCACATCGTGAGTTGGAGTCGTCGGAGGAGGAGGTATATTGGACGGGGGCGCCTGAGGTCCTCCTCTCCCGCCCTGAGCTTGATCCCACCCAACACGAGCCACGGGTGCCAAGCCAAAATGAGAACCTGACCTACTGAGCGGATGAGGGTGAGGCGGCGGAGCCTGGTGCTCCGGCCGGTAAAAGGCTTCAGGTGCACGAGGAGTCATGCCCGGATCGGGAGGGTAGTAATCTTGATGTGGGATGGATCCTCTGTGAGCCATGGCTGCTCGTTCGTAGTGGTTCAAGTCTGGCACAGAACCCTTCCTCAGACCCCCTGGGTAAATCTGTCCGTAGTCTTGGTAGGAATACGTATCCTGCTTCAAATCCAGGTCAGGAGGACGCACCCCTGCAGAGGGCTCATACCACCCTCCTCCCCCCTCTCCGTATGACAGAGAGCTCCGCCGGCCAGCTACTCTTGCCTGCTGCTCGTAGACACTCTCAGCCCTGTCCCACTGACTCTCATTCCCCCCCAAAGTGTCCCAACTGTGGGAGCGACCGAGACTTAACTGTTTGTTGGTGACAAGCATTTGAGAAAAATGTGGAAAAACAAAACAAGTACTGTACCACACAAAAAAAAAAAGTACTCCACTTGTGTCGTTCAAGTCTTGGTATGTCGTAGCACCCAAAGATGAACCAGAAAGAGGTAGTTAAGGAACCAGTCGAAAAGAAGACCAAGCAGAGTTTGGCGGTTTCACCTGATATCCGGTCGGAATATTGTATGTCCGTGCTTTCAGGTGGCTCCCCCTCCAGCTGATAGCCCTTGAATAATTAATCTCCAGTTATGCTGGCTTGGAAAGAGGACACCGCACATAAACACACCACGAACCACACAAAGGCTGTACACAACCTAGGCAAATCTACGCTGAGACAGGCTGCACGATTGAGCCACCAAATGTCGATTTAGAAAGATAAAAAAAAAAAAAAAAGAAAAGAAAAGGAGGGGCTAGGGTGGGTTCGATGTAGGGATGGGCTTGTACTAATCCAATAGGATTTATCTCTCCCTTCTTTGGTACATTTTACTCGCCCCGCCGATTGCTACCAGGGATTACAACCAAATAAAGCCTCTTTAATTCCACTTCGTAGTGACGTCATGTGAACCACAAACGAGTGTACCCGGTGACGGCGATGGCAACCGATTGGGCCAATGACCCAGAGTCCGCCCGCCTCAGGGACCCCTCACGCACCTCTGAAGTCTCACCTACCTGATGGTGATGATGTGTCGCCAACAGGTTTTTGCCGTCCGTATTCCCAGCAGAGGGCGGGCACTGACTCGCGCCGTTATGGAATGAAATACGCTTCCCTCCGCTAAGTCCCGTGCGCTGTCAGTAAATGTCAAATCCACTCTGATTGGACACTAATCCTCCAGGCCTCGCGCTAGCTGCAGTCCCCACGCAACTGCTGCCCGCCCGGTCCGGAATCAACCTCGGTGTCTCTGTAGCTCGCGTTCACTGCCCTACTCTGAGTTATTTAGGGCTTGCTTATGCATAAGAAATGGGTTACATGGTCGACTCAATTTGACTAAAGGCCCGCGTAAAACCGTCATCTGTGAGTATCACTGCTCATTGATACATTTGTATATACTGTACGTGCTCTAAAATTGTATTTTGTTCATCTTTTATACTTTGAGTAGCTCTATAATCTGCAAAAAAAAAAAAAAAAAAAAAAGGCAGTGTACGCGGGGCGGGTTGGGGTCTGCGCTTTCGTGTTATAGCCGCTAATCCAACGCACCAACAACCTTTGGCTTCTAAAACAAAAGGTTACGTTTGAAAAATGCCACCGCGGAAAGAGCTTTTGTCCACAATGCGGCAGCACTTGTCCGATTCATGGCATTATATGGTGTCGTGGACGGATCATGCATTTTTTTTTTGTTTGTTTAAAACTTCGGACTATTTGAGTGTCAAAGCTTACCTAAAGGGCAGCTAAAAGCCGACACTTTTGCCCCCCCCCCTTATTGATGTGTGAAAACATGATCAAGAGAGGGATAATCAATTGTCATCTCGGTCAGCGGTCCCCGTGGGTCATTTGGTACCAGGCCGCAAAGAAAGAATAAATAACTTACATTATTTCCGTTTTATTTTTTTCGGAATCTGAAAGATGTTTTATTTTGAAAAATGACTGGATTCTCTGTTACATCCGTGGACAGTATGTCACTCTTGACCCAGTTCAAGGCGTGCCTCTCGGTCACATGATAGGTTACCGCTAAAAATGCAACCCAGGAGCGAGGAAAATGAGTCAAAAACAAATGGAAAAGACCCAGACAGGAGACAGAAGAGGAGCCTACGATTTTCAAGAAAAAGAAGGCTACATTTAAAAGACAGAATCAGGAGTCGTACTTAAAATACAGATTGATCTCAACGGGAGATTCCCACGCAGCAAGCCCACACGGCATAATATGCGGCGATGGTGAGTCGTATTTTTCCTGCACTTTGTATTTGTGGTGTCTCTTATTTTGTAGGCACGTTTAAATGTTAAAAAAAAAAGAGGATGGCTTAAATTCATTTAATTGAGCAGACAAATTAATTGAAGTTGTGTTGTTCGACAGTCGAATGTTCATTTAATTAGAAAATCTTCAAGATCTCCTCATTTTTCCAGCCGTGGCCGAAGCCTCGGCCTTGGCGCGCTGTGCAAGAAGGAATAAAACTTTCTTCAAACCAATACAATGAATAGAATTGTCTCCTGTGCTGTCACGGAACCAAAACATGCTCCGAATGTTAAAAATCTCATTTGATTTATGTCGCGGTGAGGTGCAGGCGTCCCCAAATGGAAATGGGATTACTGTAGGAGTGTTCACTGCGGAGAATAATGCTGTCAACTCGATTGCAAGACGCACTTCACAAACATTAAGTGCACGGCTGCCTTGTACGCGAGACCTGTGATCTCGTACTCGTCTTTGACAGCATCTCTATCGAGGATATAAAATTGGTGATTGAAGCTAGTGGCAATCACAAACTTGAAGAAGAGTAACATTATTCCAGCCATCTATTATCAGAACCGCTTTATACTCGGGTGAGTCGCGGGCGTGCTGGAGCCTATCCCAGCCGTCCTCCGGCAGTCGGCGAGGTACACCCTGAACCGGTTGCCAGCCAGTCGTAGGGCACACATCGACAAACATTCATGCTCACAATCACATCCCGGGACAATTTAGAGTGATCAATTAATTGTTACAACCGACAGTTTTTAGAAATACTGGACAGAATGTTTCGTCGACATTGTGGGTTTTGTCATGGAGAAAATTTGGCGAGCCGTACATGGATGAGGCGCGGAGACTGTTGACATTAGTCTATAGTCCCTTACTGCACTGTAAATTGTTTTTTTTTAAATGCTCGAAAAAAATCTGTAAAACAGCAAAGCCGTGAAAGATAAACCGCGTTATCGCGAGGGATTTACTGTACCCGGAAAAAACCCACGCAGGCACGGGGAGAACATGCAAACTCCACACAGGAAACCCAGGGCCCGGAATCGAACCTAGGACGTCCGCACTCTGAGGCAGACGTGCCAACCGGTCAACAGGGCCTCGAGTCGGATTGCATATTATGATTACTTGACAAATCATAGGAAACACTCTCAAGAAGATCAACCCCCCCTTGTGGCAGAGATAAACAAATAACAACAGTGGACTCATCAAAATCATATTTTAGGTGTTGTCAAATATGCAGATGTGTTTGTAGATGTACACCCCCCTCCCCAAATAGAAACACTTCACCCACCTGTACTCTCAGCAGCTGAGTTAAATAAACCACCGCCCACTAACACTGCATGAGGATAGACAGTAATTGTGCCCTCTGCTGGCTGCTGTCCCCATAAATCAACTTAAGTAAACCTTCCACGATGACAGGAATAGCACATAACCCTCAATAATACGAATGACAGATTGATCAGACTGCTTTGTGCAAATGCAAAATCTTGACTCTACACTTCTCGTTTCTCGTAAATAGCGAAGCCGTGCCAGGTGCCAGGAGCAAACAAGGTGCAGGAGTCCATATATTTTTGCTTCAAATCAGCTTCTCGACCCATAATGCGTCCCTCCCCCCCGCCCCCCGGGGGTCAGCCTCCGGTTTGACCCTCGGAGGCAATGGGTCCATGTAATACTAAGGAGGTTATTTTGGAAAAGTTAAGGAGATTTGCGCAGGAATCTGAGCACAGAATTTGTGACGCCCGCGCACACACAAATTAGCTGCATGATTTTGACACAACACTGTGTGAGGTTTCTAAGCTCCTCCCTGCAGCTCCGCAAAGCCTCTGAAAAAAAGGAGGCTTGGGGGGGGGCGGGGAGTGGAGGGTGGTGGGTGAGTAGGTTTTGGTCAGGAGCCTGGAAAAAGCCCAGAGAGGGGGTGTGTAGTGACTGTGGTATCAGAACTAGATCTCGCCCCGGTGACCTCATAGCAGAGCAGGATGCCAATACGGGAGAAGGAAGGATGAAAAAAAGAGAACATTATTTATTTTATTTTTTTTTCTACATGGCTCATCCTCATCGGGCTCTTGGTTTTTGGCTAGATCGGGTACATTCACAGCCACGGACAATTTCGAGCCTTTCAAGAAGCGTCGACGCCGATGTAGTTTTTTCATGACATGCCAGATGACGATTTGTTTCCATGACTGTAATGCCTTATGAAAGTCCAACCCTAATAAACAGTGTGTCATATGATTGATTACCACACATTACCAAGTCTAATCGTCACTGTTGGACTTGCCAGCTAACATGGCGGAATCATCATGACGAACTCTGCGGTGCCGTTTTGGAAATATGAGCACCCCCGCAACCCGTCCCTGAGCTCTGGACAACTGCAATGGTGGGCACCGGTGCTGCTGCCTGTGCCAAAATACATGCTGGGAAAGCAGATGGAGCGGACATAAGGAGGGAGGAGGGAAGCGATGGCCACGACAGGTGTTTGCCACGTTTCCCTTACTGCCGTCCGACTCTTCTTGGCATCTTTATCAAAGGCCCAACAGACACAACGCTTGTATGACACGAGTTTTGTCAATAGAGGTAAAATTTTATCTTGTCTATGTCTTCAATGAAATCATTGTGATATCATAAAAATGTGCCTTGAGTTTTTTTTTTTTTTCCCTCGAAACTTCCGGACAAAACATTGCCAAGCGATTGCTGGTACCGCGAGAAATCCGGAAATTGGGTCACATATACAGTAAGTCGAGGTATGTCACAGCGCAAAATCTGAAATTTTAGGTCAATCGGAGTGGGGAGTGGGAGGGGGGGTTGGAGCAAAAGCCCACCAAACATAGTCTAACCGCCTTTCTTTGAAGCCTTATGACTCAGGAATTCCTGGGTCAATTTTCCACAAAAACAGTTTTTTTTGCAATTCAGAGAGGATTCCAAATTTGCAATCGTTTCAAAGAGTGGTGCATATTTTGGTCACTTTTGACCTAGAATTTGACCGTGAAATTGAACTTGTGGATCACGTTTCCTTCACAAAATTTTTCTCACATGTTCTCAAAAACATTAAAAACATTTCAGAGATGTATTTTTGTTGTTGTTGTTGAGCTGCGATAAGGAGTCAAAGTACGGATGACTTCAGGTAATCAGCTAGTCATCGAATATTCATTGAAAGTTGGAAGATGGGATTATGTGTGAAAATCGACGTTAAAAATGGTACATCACTCCCAAAGCCGCTCCCCTTAAATGCCTACATACGACACGACAGCAACTGTTGTTGCAACTCGTCTTATCCCCATTGGACAGTAATTGCACTTAATAAAAAAATCTTTATTTATTTATATTCTCGTTTAAGATATTTTTATATTCTACGATGCCATTTGTGTTTAAAAAAAAAATTGACAAAAATATTTTCAAGGGTTGGGAATGGATTTCTGGCATTTGTATTTGTTTTAATGGGGAATACTGATTTGAAACGTAGAAAAACTCTTCTTACCTTCACAAATTTTGTCGAGTCGCTGGCGTTTCACTTTATGCTTGTCGGTCAGAGCCATGCTTTCTAAGTCTCTCACTCTTCTTCAGCGTCACATCCGAAGTTGTCCGAGTTCTCAGTCTGTTGGCTTAGTGGCGTTCTGCGAATAAAAAGTCAAAAAGTCAACAAAAGCCGTTTACTATAATTCAGAGTAAATGTTCTGCCTTTTGTCAGGAATAAAACAATCTTTCTTTTAAATTATCTGCCATTTGTTAATATCAAAAGTACTAGTGGTATTGGTTACTTGGTATCGGTGAGTACTCATGAGTCGAGTACTGATACTGCTATCCGTTTGGAAAAAAAAGAAAAAGTGGTATTCGATTAATTACCCAGTCCTACGTCTGAATGCCGTCTTTCCACTAGAGGGTGTTTTAGAGCGCACTGATTAAAGAAACGGTAAATGCACCAACGACTGGAGCCAAATGCCACAGATAAGAAATCTCAAGGAAGGAGAGGGGGGGAAAAAAAAGTGACCGTGAGTGGTGCGAATGAGTAAACAAGGCATTTTCCTGATAATTTACGTTCAGTGAGTGATGCGCCCCGAAAGAGCAATCTTCTAATTGGTTCCCGCTGAGGCCTGCGGGGAGGCGGTGATGTCTTCAGGGGGGGAAAATGGCAGGCGGATGCAGAGCAAAGCACCACCAATGCGCACGCACACACACACACACACACACACACACACACACACACACACACACACACACACACACACACACAAACA